ACAATCTGTGCAGATGCCCTGTTGTATAACAACAAAATCCTCCCTGGAGCCAAGGCTGTCTCCTGAGCGCTTTTATGCATGGTGAAGGAAGAGGATTCATTTTTTTTTCAGTGCACAATTCTGTCTTTCAGGGGAGAGAAAGAGTTCAAATCTCAGTGTAATAGTGGTTTGAGTTTCCACAGGAAATGACTTGGGGTTATTAAGATGTATTTTTTTCCATTGTAAAATGATCTCAAATGCTTTAACACAAGGAGAGGGACCTAAAAATCCTGCCAGAGCCCGTACTGCTCAAAGTCACTGTAATAGCACACAATTTACACTCTTCCACTCCTACAAAAAACAAGGACAAAGCCTTTGATCTCCCCATCTTTTCACGTGGCCACTGTAGTCTCTGCCAGGTGTAATCTGCAGCACTGGAGGTCTCAGTCTCATTGCAGCACTTCAAGGACGCTTTGATGGCTTTGGATGTCCGAGAGGCGAGGAGCAGATTTTCTGGACTGCTATCTATTACACTGGTGCTTGAAATGACGTGGAATTGGACTCAGCAATCCACACGGTGCCCCCCTCTAACCAGGCTGCAGCTGCCTCCGAAGGGAGCTGGCAGCACCAGCCAGATCCCTGCGGGCGCAAATCCGTGTGGCGCCTGAGACCTCGCACTGCCGGTGACTCTGCTCCTCACACGGCATCGGCATCGGGACCACAGAGCAACGCACCTGCTGGTGAGCACTGTGACTCAGAGGTAGGAGAACAAGCCCCTCCTATGCTCTTTATATCCGGGATGGCTTTTAAAAACCCACTCGACCACATTCCTGAAATAACGCTGACTGAAACTTGTCACACAGCTCTCTGCAGAGGGCTGAGAGTGTCTCCAGTGACTCCTCCAGCATCAGGACCTTTCCTTTCAAACATCTGGGTGGGGAGAGAGAGCTCTAACTTTAAAATAAAGTATACCTATAGATTTAAATTTCAGGGCACATTCACCTCTATCTATAAACACAGATGTTAACAACGCTCCTTTAGCAGTGGGGGATCAAATTTGCTTTTGCTCATAGCTGTGCAGCTCAGGAGTGACTCCACTGCAATCAGTGTGCAAAGTCCATGATTTTAGATAACCCTTTGCACCTGAGTGACAATTCTGGTTCAGAAACAAAGAGAGATGAAGGCCTGTGTATACTGCAGAGTATAAACGTTGTCCTGGTGAGATTCAATGGCCAGGCTGCAGGGATTTACACATCAGTGTGCTGGTAACCTGAGGAAAGGATCTGTGTGGTGCACACCATCGAGTTAGCAACGCAGCCAGGTCAGTCTCGGGGTATCCCATGGGATATTATGCTGCAGTTGCTTTCGAGACCTCTTTGTCCTCCACTTCCACTGCACCACCACATTCCATTTACAGGCTCTGCACTAACAGATGGTAACTTCCAGCCTCTAAGTTTAGGATTAAGAAATGAATGTATGGATCTCATCTGACAGCACGTGCTTGGGATCTAACAAACCTCACCCTTGGGCTTCTCCAGAGACGTCCCTCTCCGCCCTTCTCATGTGGGTGCTGTACCAAGACCCCTCTGAACTTGGCCAAAGCAAAATACTTTCCTGATGCTTTGGCAAGGGATCAGTTAAGTCTTTTCCCTTCCTGCTGAGTAGGAATCCCATGGGAAGAGAGTGGTGGTGACAGGGCACAAGAACATCTCAGGAAGCATCAGTGCTCAGCTGGCCAGGAAGAACTGGTACAACTGAAGTCCATCTCACCCAAAGGCTGGAGCTGACATCGCTCCACTCACAGCTGACACAAAGGTGGCATTTCACATGTTCCCTACCCTGAATTCAAACTTCACTCTCAACAAAAAAATTCAACCCAAAAGGTACTTTAGGAGGACAACAGGTTACAGAGATGGTCCCTAAGCTTCCAAGCACTCACTGCCTACCTTTCACCCAGCCAGCACTTAGTTTTGAAGCCTGAATGAAGCAGCAGGAGCTGCCTTTCAATTTGCCAAGGCAACAGCCTTCAGCTGCCCACCCTATACACTGTGACCTTCACAGCCAATCAAAGCAGTACCAGCCATTCACTGAGAAAAACAAGGGGTTTATAAAAACCAGGCATTGGATATGGCTGCTCAAACAGCCCTCACCACGTAAACTGCCACTATCTGCTTCCTACCATGCAGACAGTTCTGTTAGGAAATTCTAAAATTAGGCATTGAGCACCCGAAAAAAAAAAAAATTCCTATTCAAAGCAGAACATAAAATGCCAAATGGAATTATTTTTTAAGATGGCTGGGTATGTTTTTGTGCATTAGCACAAATGCCTCTGGAGGAGAAATTCTGAACATGAAGTCCACGTGCAAAGAATTGCCCAGAGAAGCTGTGGCTGCCCCATCCCTGGAAGTGTCCAAGGCCAGATTAGATTGGAGCCCCTGGATAGTGGAAGGTGGGATAGTGGAACCTGGGATAGTGGAAGGTGTCCCTGCCCATGGCAGGGGGTGGAACAAGATGAGCTTTAAGTTTCCTTCTAACCCAAACCATTCTGTGATTCTCTTAGTCTATGATTCTACATTATTAATCATTTTTCATACGAATAATTTTTAGAATATTACAAGAAAAACTCATGGGGAATAACAAACTTTGAGGTTCATAAAAGACAGTTTGATCCTTGATGACTTGGCTTTGTGTGCAATAAGTCCCTGAGGACTTACTCTGACAGTAATTCAGAGCACTGAGCTCACTATTCTAGTTTGATTAAAATACATCCTCCTGCACTTGCAGCCCTTACTTAGACATCTGGAGAAATGGAAAATTCACCACTTCTTGTCACCCACACTGCTGAAAGACGTGTTCCTTGTGTACACAGACAGATGGGAAACATCGGTATTCCAGACTCCTGCATCCCCCCTTTTTAATTCTGATTGATCGGGGTTCTCACACACTCCAGACCCAATTCCACCCGCTATCGAGTGCTCTACTAATGCTTGTGGGTGTGCAGAGGAGACTCAGTGCCTGGTGAGAGCACAGGGCTGGAGGGGAGAAGTGTCTCTTGCTCAGAGAAGAGGTTTTGTTGTGCTGTAGAATTACTTCAGTCAGAGAATTACTTCTTCGGGGTTTAACAGGAGGAAGTTCCCATGGATACATGTGTGTATCCCACATGCTCAAGGAAACAAGTGTCTTGCAGACTCACTAATGCCTCACGTTGCTCAATTAAACATTTTTGTGCTGGAAGGAAAAAAAGAGAAGCTGAAATCAGGTATTTTCTAAACAGATAAAGTAACTCTCTGTCTGGCAGAACCTATTGCTCTGCTTACCTCTATCATCTCGTGTGATCACCCAAAACAAATCAGGCAACAGAACAGATGACAAAATATCTGTTCTGTTCTTTTTTGCCCTCTGTCCTGGCCACTAAGTGAAGACATATAAAACCAGTGAGAGAAACAGCTTCAAAGTAAACAGGAGACAGGACTGCAAAGGTTGCATGCAGCCCAATTCTCCGAGATGATCTATTTATGCCAAATCCGGATCTTACTTGAAGTCTGTGGCAGTCAATCCCCCTGACTGCCATGCAGGCAGGACTTGGCCCTGGTAAAGTATCCGCCTGCATTCCCAGCTGCTCGGTCCAGCTGCCACAGAGGAATGCAGGGCTGCTGAGGGCACTGGCACGGGATGGAGTCCAAACTTCCAGTGAAAAAAAACCCCTCCACCTCAGCGCTGGGATCTGAAGTTTGTCGGTGCAATGGCTGAATCTGATAAAGTAAACCCCTGCCTGACAATAATTGAATTTAGATTCTTCTCCCTTACCAGCATTCAAATTGTGTTTGAGCCAGCTCTTTACTGAAAATAGCTTTAAGGATTTGGGGAGAGACACAAACATTGATGGAAGGAAGCAGTTATATACATGTGTGTTCACTTCACAGCAAATTACCAGCAAGTACTCAAGACAATATTTTTATGGGGCTGAATCCTGTTCCTACAAGTCAATAACACTTCCACGACTTTGTAGCACGCCCCAGAGAATTAGTTGACAGTTTGCACAGAAGCACTTTGAGTAGGGATTAAAACAAGCAAATAAACACATGGCACTCATTTTAGCACTCTGGTTTAAACAGAAATGTTTGAAGGCTTAAAAGCCAGTTAATTCCTATTGGAAATCAATGGGAGCTGAGGAAATACAGCACTCTGGTAGCCTTCAAAAGCTGTGCTTTGACTGTGGATTGCACTAATCTCTGCTTTCTCTAAAATAAGATTGAAATGTAAGGTGCTTATTGATTTTCAACTATCCCCAGATTTCCAGCCTAAGGGGAAAAGTTGTCTCCGTGAACCTCATTCATCCCACTCTGTGCTTCCCCCTCTTCAGGAGAATCAGCCGTCACTGACGCTCGATTTGAAATCTTACTACACCATCGCCACGCTTTTCAGAGCAAGATTCAAAACAGGAGCTATTTCCAAGGCGAGAAGAGGCTGTTCCAGCCCCGGTTCCGTATCCACCTCCATCTCAGCCTCTCCGAGCGCATCTGGCGCGCCGGGCACCTGCGGCTGCCTCTGGCTCTCCCTGTTGGCCGCTGACATTTCTTTTGCCTGATGACTTGAAAGCGAAGCACCGCACCCCGTCGCCAGCGATGCCACCGGGGGAAGGAGAAGCCAGATTCCAGCGGAGCGGCCAGCAAAACTTTTCGGGGAGCTCCCGCAGCGCGCCGCTGCTCCGCGGGGCTCTTTCCGCGGGGCGCTCCGGACCCGCTCCCGGCTCGGCCAGCCCCGTTCCCGGCTCGGGGCCCCGCCGGGGCTGAGCGGAGCTCCCCACCCCTTGCCCGGACGGCACCTGCCCGCCCTCCCCGCGCTCCAGGGGTGCGGGGGGTCCCGCTGCCGGTGCGGGGCAGCCCCGGGGTGCGGGGGCGGCCCTTGCCCGGGGCACGGCCCTGCCTCCCGCGGGGCGGAGCGGCGGCCGGCGGGGCTCGGAGCGGCGGGGCCGGAGCGGCTGTGCGGGAGCGGCTGTGCGGGAGCCGCCGCCGCCGCCCATGGAGCCCAACGGGACGGCGGCGGCGGGGGCGAACAACGGCTCGGCGGCGGCGGGCGGCGGGGCTGCCCCCGCGGGCGGCCCGCTGCTCATCCCCTCGGCCTTCGGCACGGTGCTGTCGGTGATGTACGTGGCCGGGGTGGCCGGCAATGTCTACACGCTGGTGGTGATGTGCCACTCGGCGCGCTGCGCCGCCCCCATGTACAGCTCCATCGTCAGCCTGGCCCTGGCCGACCTGCTCTACCTCTCCACCATCCCCTTCATCGTCTGCACCTACCTGGCGCAGGACTGGTACTTCGGGGACCTGGGGTGCCGCATCCTGCTCAGCCTGGACCTGCTCACCATGCACGCCAGCATCTTCACGCTCACCCTCATGTGCACCGAGCGCTACCTGGCCGTGACCCGGCCCCTGGACACCCTGAAGCGTTCGCGGGGCTACAGGAAGGTCACGGCGGGGGCCGTCTGGTCGGTGTCGCTGCTGCTCACTCTGCCCATGATGCTGATGGTCACCCTGACCGAGGGGGGCAAGGCAGAGGGCAAGGTGAAGAGGATGTGTGCGCCCACCTGGAGCGTGGATGCCTACAGGACCTACCTGACGGTGCTCTTCAGCACCAGCATCATGGCCCCGGGCATCATCATCGGCTTCCTCTACACGCGCCTGGCCAGGACATACCTGGAGTCCCAGAGGAACCCCCCCCACAAGGAGAAGAGCAAGAGGTCCCCCCGGCAGAAGGTCCTCATCATGATTTTCAGCATCGTGCTGGTCTTCTGGGCCTGCTTCCTGCCCTTTTGGATCTGGCAGCTGGTGCGGCTCTACAGCAGCTCCCTGCAGCTCACCACCCAAACCCAGAAGTGCATTAACTACCTGGTGACCTGCCTGACCTACAGCAACAGCTGCATCAACCCCTTCCTCTACACCCTGCTCACCAAAAACTACCGGGAGTACCTGCGCAACCGGCACCGCAACTTCTACAGGTTCACCTCGTCCTTCCGCAAGAGGGGCTCCAACCTGCAGTGCTCCTGGGGACGCTCCATGTCCTCCAGCAACCAGTACGACTACAGCTCGGAGGCCCTGGGCATGGCCACGCTGAAGGACAAGTGAGGAAGAGGAGGCGCTCCGGACACACCGGGACCAGCAGAGCGTCTGGCCAAGGTAGGGCTTTGGGACCCCTCAGCCCTGCAGGGGCCTCGAAACTCGTTTCTGGCGCTCTGTCTAGTGAGGGACAAGAAGTTGCCTGAACCCGAGTACTGTGAGATGAGCCTGAATTCCCATCTGGGTCAGGGCTGTTGGAGGGGTCCTGCTGGGAGCCAGCAGCCGTTTGGGACAAGCCCTGCAGGGTTTTGGGGTGCAGAAGGTGAGGTGGATACTTTGTTCAGTTCTGACACAAACTCTCTCCACGCTTTGCTGAATTTTGCCCGGATCCAGCTCCACACACCTGTTGTGCTTCTCAGTGCTGTCTTCAGGCTACAGCTGGGTCAGAGCTGCAGAAGTCTGAAATCGGCCCAGTGTTGCTTTAATTTAGCTGCAAGCCTTGGGTTTGCCCCGTGTGTTACCACTGTCTATTTGTGGAGTGTAAAAAGAGACCTTTAAGCCCCTTTTCCTATTTCCTGTTACATTACGGTGCACTACAGTTTCATCAAGCTTAAAGTCTCTATTTTAAAATTCATTGTAGCAGCACTTCCAACTCCAAGCATTCAAAAACCACAAGGTAAACTGTCAGAAGCCACAGGATTACTTAAAAAAAACCCTTGTAATTTTTAAAGGTTTCCACCTAAGGTGATTTGAATTTGCCACTGATTTTTCTGTTTAAGTCGCTCCCTTTCTTAAAAGTCAGCAGGGCTTGGAAAACCTGAAAATTTACCTTGGAAAGAAAGAAAAAAATGCCTTGTAATCCTATCACTCAAAGACCTAAGGCTAAAATAAAAATGACTGAATCCTATACCAGGAAACTCATCACAAAAGAGACAATTTTTCTCATGACATGTGATCAAAAGCATTTCACCTCAATGTATTCAACTCATTTTCTCCCTACTTGGCATCTCACAGTAAACCTTCCCCACAGATGCCTGTAAGCATTTAAACAACTGTAAAATGTCAATTTATAAAATAAATGCTGATTAAAAATGGACCATCATCAGGCTTCCCCTCGCCTGGTCTCTTCACCCAGCTCAGGGGGGTGTATTTGCTGTTCCCAGCTGTGGGGATGAAGTTTGGTTCAATATTCCTCTTCCTCGTTCTGGGACAGACTCTGGGGATGAGTAAAGCATGATATGAGTTGCATAAACTACTGCCAGCAGCCAGTGATGCCCAGGGATTTGGGAAGCAGCAGCAGTGTGAGGAACTGTCATTTCCACTTTTTCATCACACACTGCAGCCCCCACCTGCCTGGGCAGAGCCTCCTCCAGCCCTGCAGTGCTGCTGCAATCCTGTGGCCTTGGATGATCCTCTCGTGTCCCACACCAAACCTGAGGGTGTGTTTGTGCTAAAGCAGAGGCACAAAGCACCAACACCTCAGCAGGGACTGGCAGCAGAGGACAGGGCACAGGGACACGCTGGATTGTGTGCCCTCAGCCAGCTGAAAAACGAACCCTGCGGGGCACAGGTGGGATGGAGAGTGAGGAAGAACATTCCTGTGCCTGCCATCAGGCATTCTTCTGAGGAATGCAGTTGTTGGGGTTGCTTTTTGGGAACAGGGGAGTAACTCGCCTGCTCATACTACTTTGAGCCACAGGACTGTCTTTGAAACACTGGGGATCACTTTGTCGTGTTCCAGTATTACTGATTACCAAACTGGGCAGTTTAAACAGACACCTAACGGTTCCCATTCCTTATGAAACAGGGGGACTGGCACAGCTCGCTCTGGGAATTGGCAGGGAGAGCAGGATTCGGCACTTTTTCAGAACTTTTCAGAAAATAATTAGGTTTTTAATTACTAACTCCAAAGTCATTGTCACTTTTCCTCCAGTTCCCATTTCCCAGGCTGGAGGTCACTCCCATAGAATAGCAAAGATAAGGCTGAGCTCAGAAGGTGGTGTGGGAAGGCTGGAGTATGTGCATCACCTGTGGGGTGTGTTGGGCTGTCCTGCTCCCAGGGAGATGTCCTGGCAGAGCCAAGCATGGCTGCATCCCTTCCAGGTGTTGCACATGCCATTGGATTCTTGACACAGAGCTGATGTCTCTTGATTTCTCTTGCTTGGCCTGAGGAGAAGATCCTTAGGAAGCCACTCACAGTGTCAGGAGGCTGATAAAGGATGGGGGATTACCATGCACAAAATAGTTGCAAGGCACAGTTGTAGCTCTCTTAACAGGGATGTCAGGGGAAGCAGATGATGGAAGAGCTGGATCCTATCAAAAAGATTTTTAAGGGAATGTGCTTTCTGCTTAAAACAAAACAAAACAAAACCAAAACCAACAAAAAACCCACAAACAA